TTAAAAAAAAAAAAAAAAAAAAAAAAAGTGACCAATATTTTACAGAGAAGTACGCTTTCAAAAACGATGATGGGTACAAAACGTTGACACGGCACATACGATCATATCATCTGGCCGAAATGAGGATTCCCATGACCCAAACACAATTCTCGGTCCTGGGCGGGAGTAGCTCTGCATCCACAGGTATGCCTTCTACTTTATTCCAATACTCACATGAAAACCATAGAAAAAAACTAGCTAATTTATTTCTGCTTCATCTCTTCCTTTCGGTTTTGTTGATTCTAATTTATATGAAAATTTTACTCAAATGACTTTAAATCCGACTGTGTCTCGAGTTCCATGTACTACACTTACTCATGATATTCGAAAAATTGTGAGTGTGATAGGTCGAAAAATGTGCACGTTTTATATATTTAATAGTGTATTTTTATACACGTATTTTCTTTGCATGTTTATATTTTTCGACTTATTTATTATTTGGATAGATTCATATACATTGATATATTTATGTTTATTTACAGCATATTACGAAGCGGTGGCGAAAGTCCAAGCATTTTTTGAGGTGCCCAAATACCGGATTGATTACGGCCCTTTAATTGTTTTGGCTGACAGCAAATAATTAAAAAAAAAAAAAAAGCTTTGAGCCGCCACGCTGTCAAAGAAATTCATGTAGCAACTTTGTGATGAAGAGTCCAAAGCACTCACGCAAGGAATTATTTTGAGAGTGGATTTATTTGCAAAAACGTCAAAAGGCCGAGACAGGCCATAAACAAAAGAGACGAGAAGAAATTCACGCATACAGAGGGAAGGGACGCACGACGGAAGAGGCTACACACGCGGAGGGAAGCCGCACTCGCACACGAGGGAGATATTCATGCTCTCTCTTTTATCTATCTTTTATTTTTATTAGCATGGTAGTTTAGTATTTTTATCCAGTTTTAGGGGATGTTTGAACCCTAACTTTGATTTGTCTATGAATTGAAGAATCTTTATTTTTACTGTTGGTTAATTAAGACGCCATATTTATTTTTGTTGATGAGTTGATTCATGCTATCTGTGTTTAATGTTCATGAATTATGGTGTTTGATTTGGTTTGGCCAGCTAGGTTGAATATCTATAATTTAATTGCTAGATTCGAGGCTTTAATCCGTAATTGTTATTGTCTTGTTTCGTTAGTAGTAAACTAGGGGTCGTGCATCTCTAGGGTAGCATGAGCATAAGTTAAATGGTCCGAGCTTTTGCGTCCGTTGCTTAGACTGATCTATTTTCCTAGAACTTAATGCTGCTAGTAGATTAAATCTAGAGAGCTTATTCTAGGTTGTCCACTAGTTAGGTTTAGTCGAAGGGCTTATTTCGATTAAATATTCAGTAAGGGGAAATTCGGTTAACAGAGCTTGTTGTTAGCTAGGGTCGGTAATTCATTGGCAATTTAAAGAAGGTGTCAAAATTAATTAACGGTAGATTTAGATTGGGTGATAACTGAACCGAAAACTGGACTTCTCTTATTTTATTAGATTTTTATTTTATTTTCTTATTTTTATTTTTATTTTTATAAAACTAATCCACCCCATCTTTTATTGCTTTCCTAGTTTAATTCAATTAATACGAGATTGTCACGATTTAATTCCTACTCCTCGTGGGATCGACCCTTACTCGCCACTATTACTAGTTAGTAGAGGTTAGTTGAGGAAAATTATAAATTTAAATTTGCCGCGTCGCGACGCACGGTCAGAGTGAGAATAAAGTCATTTTGGCGCAAACTTTTGAAGCTTTAAACCAAAAAATTTCTATTTGTTGTGACATTTGGTCCGATCATTGACAATATAATTTTCAAAGTTTTTAATAATATCCCAAACGTGGTCGTATTTCCATCTGAAAATGAATTTGGAATCTTCTTTGAACAACACTTTTGTTTGAGCATCTACAATTCTTCATAAACAATTAACCATAGCTAATAAATAATAAATTTGATAAATAAAAAATATAATACGATGTTAATACTCACTATATCTTCATTTGAAACACCACTCTGATGCATATCTTCTGTTGCTTTTATGCATGCATGGAGTCTCTTGGCTGCTTTTTTGATTGTTTTGATTCATGCTTGCTTAGATCTTTTACTACAAACCTCCCAATGCTCAAGTCGTCCTTCATTGAAAACTTTTTCTATACGCGACCAAAATCGATCAGATGATCGGTATACCCCAATAATTGGGTTCTGAAAAATATCCATATAAACCTGACATAAAAGAAAATCTTCATCGTGGTTATAGGAAGATGAACATATCGACATTCTTGTAAGAAGTTAAATGTGATAAAGGTTTAGTGTATAGAATAAAAATGTTAGGATGTAACCACTACAATATCATATCTTCTTTTACAGTGAATAACCCTATTCCCTCTTCATGGTTTAACCTGAAATGACCACTCTCTGCAAAAGTCCTCAATTTCTCAATGTTCTGACCAGAAAATAACCACTCTCTGCAAAGGTGATCATATTTTTTTCATGTTCTGACCCAAAATGACAAAGTTCCCTACATCTCTCAATGCTTTGATCCGAAATGATGACTCTCTACAAAGGTGATCACTCTTCTCCATGTTTTGACTCGTAAATGACATATCACTGCAAAGTTCTCCATATCTCTCAATGCTTTGACCCGAAAATGGACACTCTCTGCAAAGGTGATCACGCTTCTCTATGTTCTGACCTGAAAATGACCTACCATTGCAAAGTTCCCCATATATCTCAATGTTTTGACCCGAAAATGATCACTCTCTGCAAAAGTGATCACGTTTCTCCACGTTCTGACATGAAAATGACCTATCACTGCAAAGTTCTCCACATCTCTCAATGCTTTGACCCGAAAATGATCACTTCCTGCAAAAGTGATCATGCTTCTCCGTGTTTTGATTCGTAAATGGCCTATCACTGCAAAGTTCCTTATATCTCTCAATGCTTTTAACCAAAAAATGACCACTTTCTACAAAGGTGCTTACATTTCTCAATGTTCTGACCCGAAAGTGACCGCACTCTGCAAAAGTGATCATACTTCTCCATGTTCTGACCAAAAAATGACATATCACTGCCAAAGTCCCCATGTCTCCGAATGGTTTGACCAAAAAATGAGCATTCTCTGCAAAAGTGATCACGCTTCTCTATCTTCTGACTCAAAAATGACCTATCACTAACTCTAATTATCTCATGTGTAATTCATTTCTTTATAAAGGATGATAATTTACATTAGTACATGTGAATTGTGATATAAAATATTTGAATAAGAATCATCCAAAGTAATAACTTGACATATAATTAAGTAGTGTTCATCAATTATCTAATCCCTTTAATTATTATTTTAAAATTAAGTCATTCAATTTTGAAAATGTACTATATTTTAATTAATGTGGTAAGTAAATATCGACCGATATAACTAATCGTTAATTTTTTAGAAGTAATTTATGTATTTAATTTAATTTAGAAGTTACTAGTTATTATTCTACTCTCTTCAATTAATTTCGATGCGTATATTTTGAAAAATAAATTGCGATCTCGCATCCAATTTCTCCGTAGCATCCTACAAATCGCTTCCGATGAATGAATGAAGCCGCTGCACCTGCTTAACAAAACTACCCTATCCGAGCTCACCGCCCACCACTGCCAAGCCATCAAACTCTCCCTCACTGCCGACACCTACGCCTCCAACAACCTCATCAGCCGCTACTCCAAATGCCGCGACCTCACATCCGCCCTCAAACTGTTCGACGATATGCCCCATCGCGACATCGTCTCCTGGAACACCATCATCGCCGCTTATGTCAGCTCCAGCGACTTTCCCCGTGCCTGGGAAACCCTCAATTCCATGAGAAAGCAAGAACTCTCGCCAGACGGCCACACCTTCGCCAGCACGCTCAAGGGGGTCGCCGCCAGGTCCTGCCTCATCTGTTGCCGGCAGATCCACTCAGATATAATAAAGAAAGGCTATTGCAGCAATGTATACGCTGCGAGTGCTTTACTGGACGTGTATGCAAAGTGCGGCAGGGTCGAGGATGCAGATCTGGTGTTCAGGAGCTTACCGACCCCGAACAGAATCTCTTGGAATGCTCTGATCTCGGGGTATGTAGAGGCCGGGAATCTCGTTCGTTGTCTCGAGCTTCTCTCGTTCATGGAGATTGAGGACGTGGGGCCGGATGATGCGACATTTGCGCCGATTTTGACCTTGCTTCGTGATGTCCGTTTTTACGGCCTGGTGAGGCAGCTTCACGGGAAGATTACAAAACGTGGTCTCGAGCTCGAGAATACCGTGCTGAATGCCTTGATCACTGCATATGCAGAGTCTGGATGTGTTGATGATGCAAAGAGAGTGTTTGATGGTTCGGATGGGTATCGGGATTTGGTGACGTGGAATGCCATGCTGGCAGCCTATTTGGAGGGCGGAAGCTCGGACGGGAGTGGGTTCGGTGTTTTCTTGGAGATGGTGAGATTGGGGTTGAAGATGGACGCTTATACATATTCCAGCATGATAAGCGCTTGCTCGGGAGATTTACAGTTGGGGCTCGGGAAATCCTTGCACTGTTCGGTGATCAAGTTCGGTTTAGATCGGTTAGTACAAATTTCCAACGTGTTGATTTCAATGTACTTGAAGTGTAATAATGGCCAAGCCGTGGAGGATGCACTGAAGGTGTTCGAGAAAATGCACACAAAAGATGTTGTGTCATGGAATACGATTTTAACCGGGCTGTCGCAAAAGGGACTAAGCGAAACATGCATGAAGGTTTTCCAAAAGATGCACGTCGATTACATGGCGATAGAACAATACGCATTTGCAGCTGTCTTGAGGTCATGCTCGGATTTAGCCACTCTCCTATTCGGCCAGCAGGTTCACGTTCTCGTGATAAAATCGGGCCTCGAGAGGAACGAATACGTCGCGAGTGCTTTGATATTCATGTACTCGAAATGCGGGATTCTCGAAGACTGCTCGAAATCCTTCGAGACGTCACGCATGGAAACCTCCGTGACTTGGAACTCGATTATTTTCGCTTACGCGCAGCATGGGCAAGGCAGAGTCGCGCTCGACTTTTTTTACCTAATGGTTGAGAGGAAAGTGAGAGTCGACCATATCACATTTGTTGCTGCTCTCACTGCATGTAGCCACGTGGGTTTAGTAGATGAAGGTCTTGAAATCCTAAAATCCATGGAAAGGGATTATAAAATCCCGGCCCAAATAGAAAATTACGCGTGTGCAGTTGACTTGCTTGGGCGGGCGGGTCGACTCATGGAAGCAGAGGAACTTGTTCGTGAAATGGCTTTCGAGGCCGATTGTGTGATGGTGTGGAAAACATTACTTGGGGCTTGTAGGGCGTGTGGCGACATACGATTGGCTACCAAGATTGGTGGTCGGCTGCTTGAAATGGATCCGGGAGATCACTGTACGTATATTCTGTTGTCAGATATGTATGGAAATCTGAGAAGGTGGGATGAGAAAGCGAGCGTGAAGAGGCTGATGAGAGAGAAGGGAGTGAAGAAGGTGCCCGGTTGGAGTTGGATCGAGTTAGGGCACAGTGTTCATGCTTTTAATGCGAGTGACCATTCGCACCCGGAATGCCGCCAAGTGTACTGGACGTTGCAAGAATTAACCGGATTTTGTGAAGATAGTTTGATCCTTGATGGAGTTACTCTTGATGATATGTGTTGACCTTTGCTAAACCATTTGTTCAATTTTGTACGATTTTATTAAATTCAATAGTTATTCCATTTGGAGTAACTGTATTTGAGGCTGATTATATAATCATTTTGTTTAAATGTGTAAAATGAGAATATGGATTTTTTTCTTTATGCACTTTCGTCGTTATAATATTATATTAATAGATTATGAATAAAAGTACAAAACGTACGTTAATTAATATAAAACGTATATCTCGGTTCAGTGGTGATGCATGTTGTTATTTGCATCATAATTGCATCATCGTGTCAATTGTATAATCTATTAACTAATTTTATTTTACTTTTAAATAATGCTATTATTACATGAATCACAGATTATTCTTATTTAATAAAGTTATACATAGTTAAGGAAAAAATATTCTTTTGGTCAGCAGGTTGACTGAATTGAATTACCCAAATTGAATTACAAAGAGTTTATATTATAACAATTATAACATTAATCTTAGGTTATATATGTGATTTTAGTGGATTAATTAAATTTAAGTCTATAAAATTAAAGATATGATTTATCTTTTAATTCATTTTCTTCGTTAGAACATCATCAGGTAATACATTATGAATTTCATATTATAAAAGTATTATTTAGTATGAAAATGTCTCGACTTGGGTTGTCTATGTTATGGTTCTATTTGTAACATTCGGTTATTTGTAAAAATACTCAAAAAACATGACACAATTCGAGATGCGTCTGGGTTGTCATGTTTTATTTTATTTGGTCGGATCAACTTGATTATTAAAATTGAATATATATTTCAGTAATAAAAATTTTTGTTACGATAAATATAATGTTATCTAAATTTTACGAGAATATGTTCAATAATGATAAATATAATGTTGTCTAAATTTTACGAGAATATGTTCAATAATGTATGAATATTTATATGAACAAAATATGTTGCATTATAACATTTAATAATGTGTGAGAAACCGTAATTCACATTATTTATATATGTATTACATACTCAAATTAATTAATTAATTTTTATGGCATAAAAAAACCATTTAAAATTCTACTCACAATTGCTATAATAATTTTAATCTAATTAGTTGACCATAATCACTTAAATTTGCAAAAAACAAAAATAAAAAACACATTATTGCAAGCAATATAATTAGAATTTATATATAAGTCAAATAATTTATATTTACATCATTTGTTTTTGATATTAATAAAACTTTAAAAATTCGATATGCTTATTGTATAATTCATGATTTTAAATATTATACTCAAACAAATAATTCATAAAATCTTATTTTCATTGTGCATGTAAACATGATTTGAATACTACTTTTTTAATAATCTGAATTGAATATAAACTTTAATTTTGGTCACCTTATATTTGGTGTCAAGTGGAGGTATACATTTTTTTCGAATGAGTGATTAGAAAACCGAGTCATATACAAAGCACACAAAGCACCCTTTCTAAATACTAAGTGAGTTGACTCGCTAGTTACGCTTGGCGCCAGCCGAGTCGAGAAGCGTCGACGTTGTGGAATGCGCATTGCATGAGTTGAAACCGAAAATCATTTTCCATTTTTTTTCTATAAAATTAAAAGCGAAATCCCAATTCCACCTTCCGTTACTTACCAATCAAATCCCTCTTCTCCCTGCCTCTCTCTTCTTCCCATTTTTTTCTCCTCAAAATTTTCTCTTTTAACTGCCAAAATTCGCAGATTCAGATCCCTATCACCATCGTCGTCGCCTCTCTTTCTCTCTCGATTTCGCTTTTGCTTTCCCAATGGCGGTGGTGTCACCATTAGCGAAGTACAAACTGGTGTTTCTCGGCGATCAATCGGTCGGGAAAACCAGCATCATCACGCGCTTCATGTACGACAAATTCGACACCACCTATCAGGTATATTTATTGTCTCTGTTTCTTTTACCTTTCTATAATTCTATTTGATCATTTATTTTTGTTGGTTAATTGTTGGCATCGTTTTTATTGCCATTCTGCAATCGAATTTATGCTTCGAAGCCTCTCTTCTTTTCGAT